ATACCTAATCTTCTTAACCGTATGTCACATGGCAGTGTGTTCTTTGATAAACTACATTACGGTTGCATGAATAAAGATGATCCCCAGGTAGACTACTTGATCCAGGGTTCAGTTCCTTAAGATCTCAGCATTGAATTTGGCCTTCTGTGTGTCGGTGATAATTTCATATTTCTTTGAGATTCCTAGCAAATAGTTTCAACCATACTATTGAGATTATAAAACTGTTTTTCACATCAGTTTTTGCTTCCTTGATGACATTGAAAAGGGAAACTCGACTCTCACTGTTATTCCCGTTGTTATTTGGGATCATCATTGCTAGCCAAGATGAACTGAGTTTTCATCTATTTTGGTTTTATCATTTGTATTTCATCCCCAGCTGCAAAAATTCCACGGATATCTTTCTGTACATTGATCCTACAGTTGATGTGTTTCTACTTCCTACAAAGGTCATTATAGAAGAAAATGTGATCAGTATTACATTTGTCTTTGCCCGAGATGATATCAAGATCAGTTAATGTCTCCTATTCAATTCGACGCCAGCATATCTTGTGAATTTGACCAACTTTTTGGTTGTACCAACATTACACTTGAATCCCCACTGAGTTTTGTTCTCAAGTGGTCTTGTGACGTTATTCAAAAGCTTTGAACATTAGGCAAAGAGCTTACATGATTGAGAAATCTTGGCAGAAGCCACAGTAAAGGATGAATGTGTTGTCAAATGTTTACGAACATCTGAGCAGAAGCCACAGGAAAGGATGAATGCACTGTCAAATGTTTTACGAACCTGCTATTCTTATGCTGAACCAATGTTACGATCATATGGTTTTCATTTATTGATCTAAGATGAAGTTTGTCTTTTTCAACCCCAAGATTAGAAGTGAGATATAATGAAGATTTCTTTCCAAGGAAAGTTGAAATTTTAAACAAGAAACTAATGGGGTCAACTAAGGTTGAACTACATGTTGTTGTTAAGTATCTCGACATGATATTAGTCCAAGTTGCCTTATTCGAGATCTGATTATATGTGGAGACATGAAAGGAATTGGAATAAATCTTCCTTGTGATGTTTCAAGAGTTAAATAAGAACATACTCTACTCTCCTAATTAATCCCTGCTGAGTCAGGCATATCTACATCTACACTCTTCAAAGATGATAGATTCTCTTTTTAAAGATGAAATCTTTATGGGATTTACACACAAGTCCAAGCAAATAAAGTTGGTTTTATCCAAGACAAAAGGGGGCATCAGGGTCATAATTTTGACTACGACAAGAGTTCCACAAGTGAAACATTTCTTCTAAGACTTTTATGAAGCAAAGAAGACAGCAAAGATACAAGTTGATCAGATAATTCTGCATGAATGCAAGCTTGATAGCATAAGTTTCTACACTGATATCTAGAGGTAATCCTGGCAATAAATGATGAAGTGAAGAAAGACCAAGTTCACCATTTTAAAGTCAAATAAAAATTGCATCAACATTCATGCATTCATAAAAACATCATTTACACAATAAACAATGCATTACATTGATACATTTGAGTGCATTCAAACATGAAGTTTTACAAATCTTCGGAATAACAAGAAGATTCATGGTAAGAAATACCTTACAAAAAGAAGGTATTCAAAACCGTAAATACAGGAATCATGCAAACATTTGAAAAAGAGATGGACGCAACGCCACAAAAATGAGCATTATCTTGAGATTGGGGCATGTTACCCAATCAACATGTTATTTTGAAAAATAATGAGAAAACGATTTCCATAGTTTCTCATTCAATCTTTTCTTAAAATGAAATTGTTGAATAGTAAGAAAACAATTTCCATAGTTTCTTACTTAGTAAACTATTTCTCACATCTGTAAGTCCTTCAGTGCATGATGTTTCCAAAAAGCCTTCGGGAGCTTTTTGATGTTTTCAAAGCCTTCGGGTCATCTGTAAGCCCTTCAGTGCATGATGTTTCCAAAAAGCCTTCGGGAGCTTTTTGATGTTGTCAAAGCCTTCGGGGCATCTGTAAGCCCTTCAGTGCATGATGTTTCCAAAAAGCCTTCGGGAGCTTTTTGATGTTGTCAAAGCCTTCGGGTCATCTGTAAGCCCTTCAGTGCATGATGTTTCCAAAAAGCCTTCGGGAGCTTTTTGATGTTTTCAAATCCTTCGGGTCATCTGTAAGTCCTTCAGTGCATGATGTTTCCAAAAAGCCTTCGGGAGCTTTTTGATGTTTTCAAAACCTTCGGGTCATCTGTAAGTCCTTCAGTGCATGATGTTTCCAAAAAGCCTTCGGGAGCTTTTTGATGTTTTCAAAACCTTCGGGTCATCTGTAAGTCCTTCAGTGCATGATGTTTCCAAAAAGCCTTCGGGAGCTTTTTGATGTTTTCAAAACCTTCGGGTCATCTGTAAGCCCTTCAGTGCATGATGTTTCCAAAAAGCCTTCGGGAGTTTTTTGATGTTTTCAAAGCCTTCGGGTCATCTGTAAGCCCTTCAGTGCATGATGTTTCCAAAAAGCCTTCGGGAGCTTTTTGATGTTTTCAAAGCCTTCGGGTCATCTGTAAGCCCTACAGTGCATGATGTTTCCAAAAAGCCTTCGGGAGCTTTTGGATGTTTTCAAACCCTCAGGGTCATTCATAAGACCTCTAGGCAGAATGTTTTCAACATTTCCATATTACTCAAAATAAGCTAAATGAAAAAATTATTGTCTTTTTCGTCTTTGCTCTATTCTTGTTAACACAAGAATGAGCAAAGAGGGGCAGCTGTAGAAATCAATTTTTTCATTTTAAATTATTATTATTAAAATTATTATTATTATTATTATTATTATTATTATTATTATTATTATTATTATTAGTAATATTATTTATTATTTAAATATTACAAAGCCCAAATCATAACCCGGTTACATCCAGGCCCAAACATGACCCAAAACCCTTTTAGGGTTTTCAGAATCTTCTCTCAGCCGCCTTAGCTCATCACCGTTGGATCTGGCCTTGATCCAACGGTCTCCAGATGCTTCCAGCTTGAAACCCTAGGGTATCATAACCCTAGGGACCACGCGGCGCCACCTCTTCCAGGTGTCTCATCTCGCCGTTGCCGACGCTTCAGTACTGCCACGACGCCTCCGACGAACATTCCAGAAGCTCTGCTGCCACGACTCTGACCGTCCACGTCGCAGCTATGGGGTGAGTCACCACATAGTTTGGTGACTCACCGAAGCTTCCCTCTCGGGACCGGTCCGACGAGAGCCTCGGTGGTGGCTATAAAAGCCACCACACCTGCAAGAAAGAAGAAGAGAGCAGAGAACAACAACAAACAGAACAGAAAAAAAAGAGGAGGAGAAGAACACAACGAACAGCAACCAACAACCAGAAAAAAAATAGAAAACAAAGAAAGAAGAAAAGAAACTTACCCTTGGAGCCTTGACCACCGTCGGAAGCACTAAACATTGCCGGAGAACAGAAAATACCGAAGGTATTTTCGTAGATTTACTCCGATTAGGAGTCTTTTAGGGAAAACAAAGACCGGAATCGTCTTAGGGCATTTAGATCTACGCTTTGGGGTGTTTTTGGTGAATTCCGACCACCGTTACGGTGGCCGGTGGCGGAGTACGGTGGCCTATGGCTGCCGGTTTCCCTCCGGTGAGGGAAACCTAGAGAGAGGCGAGAGAGAAATCTCTCTCTCAGTTTGAGAGAGAGAAGAAAGAAAGGAGAAATGAGATGCTGGCCCTTCAGGCCAGCCAGCCTAGGGTATTTATACCCTATCTTAAACGGCGTCGTTTAAGGGAGGACCTGTGTGTAATTTGGTAAAGGTTAAATCCTTTCCGCAGTCCTCTGAATTTTTAAACTTTATATTTTAGTCACTGAACCCAATTTTAGATCTTTATAATTTGGTTCTTTAATTTTAGATTTATTTATTTTAGTCCTTTCTATTAAATAATATATTTAGGATAAATACGTATTTAGTCCTTTAGTTTTAATAAATCATATTTTAATTCCGAGTATATTTTTAATTTATTTTAATCTGTTATTCAAATTTTTTTATAATTATATTTTAGTCACCAAATTAATAAATAAAGAAAATAGCATGTTTAATCCCTATAATTTTAAATAATTAATTATGAATTAGGTATTTAATTTTATTAGATTATAATTTAGTCCCTAAGTTTAATATTTTCATTTATTTTACAAGGTTTATTATTTTTTATTTTTTCATACCATGTTTTAATTGTATTTTAAACATTATTTAATCATATGTTATCTTTATATATTTATGTTCATATATATTTAATTATCATTACTATTATTATTATTATTCTTTATTAATTATGTCAATATATATAGTCTTATAAATATATAATTTATTTATTTATTCTATTTTCCTATTTATAAATTTAATTTTATAAATTACTTTTAAGAAAAATAATCATATTTTGATATTTATTTATTTTTACTATCAAAGAAAAAAAGTTGTCTTAAGGTACCTAGAAGCTCTTTTCTGATATTTTGAATAAATAAATATCTTACTATATTAAATAAAAGGTTTTGAGATTTATTTTTAAATATTAAAGAAAAGAGCTGTCTTAAAGCACATAGAAGCCCTTTTCTGATATTTCTAAATAAGTAAATATCTTATTTTCTTAAAATTATTTGAAATAATAGAATTATGAATTAAATATATTTTGAATTTTTTAAATTTTAATAATAGAGACAATTTATAATTAAAAAGTACCAATTTTGGGCGTTGTAGGGGTGCTAATCCTTCCCTAAACGTAACCGACCACGAATCCCTTTTTATTATTAAAAAAGAACGAATTTTTGGTTATAAACGCAGATCAGTTCATTTTTTTTATTGGTGTTTTCTTAAAACTCTTTTAAAAAAATAATTTTTAGGTATTCGACCTACCTGACCCAAAAGGCCGATGGCGACTCCCAAATTATTTTCAAAACCATTTATTCACATAAATTTTCCCGCCAAATTTAAAATTTTTGTGCCCGGACGAAAACCGGTTACGACAGTGATATTGAACGATCCCTTCCTAGGAAAAAGAGTTGAAGAAGGCAACTTTTCTACTGTGCCATTGAAAGATGAGTTTCTTGAGAATGCTCGCCTATTTATCTTCGAGACATACTGCAGAATTCACCAGCGTATTGACATGCGGTAAGTTCCTTTTTTATCAAACATAATAGTTAGCTTCTTTTGCGGGCAATTGATTTTCCCACTAAAATTACAGTTGCCTTGAATAAATGACACTGGAAGGACATATTCATTTGAATACTTGCATTCACATTTACGATTTGCTCCTTCTCATTAGTTTCCTCAACGGTTTCAAGACATACTGTCATCAAAAGGGTAGAACATAGGAAATTCTCTGATAAAAGGAAATTTCTTCTTATATATTTTATGTAGTCCTAGTTTTTGTATTGAGCCAACATTAAAAGGATTTTTTATGTTTTCCAAGGGTGCTTTTCGAGAAATTGAATTTAAATTACGAGGAGGGTGAGAGATGGATTGTCAATCTCATCCGAAACTCAAAGCTCGATGCCAAGATTGATTCAGAGACAGGAACCGTCATTATGGAGCCTAATCAACCCAACATGTAAGATTTCTTTGTGCATTGGTGTTATGCCAACAATAAGCTCCATTCGTTCCTCTTCTCTTAGTGACAATTGATTTTGTTATCGGATTTATCCAGTTATGAGCAGCTGATAGACCACACCAAAGCTCTCCAAGGGCGGACCTACAAGCTAGTTGGCCAGCTTCTTGAGCATGCGCAGGCACAGCCTGCTTGATAAGAGAAGTTGGTTGAAAATCATGCAATTTTGATTGTTCATTTCCTTAAGACTAATTTAATAGTGGTTCCAGTTTCTGATTAGGAACAAAGACTGAGAAATCAGTTTTAAATTTTGAAGTGATTAAATACCAAAGGATTTTTTTTCTTATAATTTTTTATTGAAAATATTTTTTAAACTTATAACTTAGTGTTTTCTATTTCATGATTGTTTTTCATTTGTTATTATGGTGCCTACATTATCACACAATTGATTCTTTAAAATGGTTAATTGTACACTTAAGAAACTTCCTACCATGCTAACATGGCAATATTAATGTTACACTTTTGCTTATAAACCAGACAATGGAGGCTTGTGAAGAACTCAACACAATGCAGGGCATTATGGCAATGCCCATGCAGTACATGGTGGTAACACGGCCGAAGTAACCATGAATGGAGTCAATTTATTAACGTAATCTACAGACGTGACTACCTATAAGAGTTATGATCGAGTTTATAATTAAGATCTTCTGATGATGTAAACCATGGAATTGAGAATGAGAATGAGTTTAATTAAATGAACTCTAAAAGTAAAAGTCGACGGAGCATAAGCCAAGTTTCGATCAGAAACCGAGAATGCAAAATCCTATGGGGTAAGAGCAAAACAATGGAACAGCAATGTGCCATTTCGATCTCTATAAGCTGAAGCTCATGTTATGGCATCCAAAAAGAATATCAAAAGATGTAGCAACACTCATCAATCATGATCTATACTATAATCGGGATTAGCCCCCCGGAGTTCGAATACTGAGAAGTGCTCTAACCAATTAGTCTCATTCATCCGGTTTCAATTTGGTTCTCCGACTCTTACTGGGAACGATGAGGCAGCAGTACTCACTGTGAGTTTGAAGTCATTATGTTCCAATGTGAAGCTCATGCAGGACCGGAGGGGAAAGTGGTGGTATTGCTAAACCATAAGAAAAATTTTCAGTTATTTCCATGATCCTTCGGGCAGCTGCTGTGGATTCTTTCACAATAATCTTTCTGGACGAAGTTATTCCAGGATCATCTATTCTAGAAGAGTTGACACTATCGACCGACGACAACTTGTCGTTCGACATAGTTGTCTGTGCCAATTGTATTACAGAAGCGAAAACATCAGATTCCCGAAGTCCTTGAATTATAACCTGTGGAACAGAGGAAAAGGTGAATGAACGATCATAGCATCGTCGAAAAACCAGGAATGTGGAAGTTTTGCTCACCATGGGAGCATAAATCCGAGTTAAGGTGCCCCTCCTCAAAAGCTTCAAGTTCAGTTCTTTATCAGTCCACACTCTCCCTCCATAATTAGTACAAACATTACTAGCCGAATGTAATACAAAAACACGATGACAGCAGTGGTGGACTAATCTAACATGATTTTTGTTACACCTCTAGAAACTATCCTCGGAGACTACCGGTTCCTAGCCTTTTAGAACCCCTGAATAGACACCTTCACTTGCCGGAGTTTCTTACAGTCTCATATCCTCCGGACGTAAATCCTCAAGTTAGCTATGGTATTTGAACAAGACCTCTAGACAAAACTTCTGACGTGTGAAGTCAATCCACTAGAGCAAATCAAAGATATGATGACCATTTTTATATAACATGTCAACCTACAAGTAACTATGATGGCCCTATATCAGATCTCATCAGACAGAGACAGAGTTACTATTATAAATCCCCCTCTGCCACGAAGAAAGAGGGACGTTTTCTTCTTCCTCGGCTACGTGAATGATCTTCCAGCTAATTCTTTCCCAAAAAGTCATCGACCTGCGAGTATTCACTGGAATTAAAAGAGGTGAACCGCCAACTACCGAGAAATGAAAAGAGAAAGTGAGAAAACATGCGTCATGTCTATAACTTTTACCTATAAAATGGCCAAAGCTGAAATCAAGAAACACGCTCCTAGTATTTAATTAAATCAAGTTCAACATGATAGCAGATCGGTAACTTAGATTCCAACTTTCAACAATAGTAAATCAATTAAGTGAAAGCACGGGCAACAGAAAATAGAGATCACGCCAGTTAAAAACCAGATAAAAACAATGTGATGATGATATCGATTGGAACTCACAGCTCTATCAAATTCTAACATGAAACATCTTTTAACAACGTCCTTTGCAGGCTTGCAACTACATCGATCAGGCCTCGATGTTAGATCGGAAAATTTGGGGTATGTATAATGCAGAACAGCTGTCTCATCCAATTTGATCTCACTGTCAAATATCACACAAAATTAAACTAGTTAAATACCTGCGTCCGTAGCATACAACCCGGCGTCCGATCTCTGGGCACAATGGTTTGCGCTTGACCAAATGTGCCTCGCCTGAAGAACAGCAAGGTACGCTTTACTAAGTTTGCACTGTGCCTTAGCACTCAAGGCAAGTGCCTTGATCGCACTGGTATATAAAAGACATGAGAAAACTTCCTATTGCTCTAGTTCTAGATATGCATAAAAATGGCGTTAAGAACATAAATTCATTAACAAAAAATGTGGAGAAAAGGAGAAATACAGTACTTTGGAGTCTTCATGTAGTTTTGCCATCTATGTGCAGCAAAGCAAATAGGAAATTATACCTCGGTAAAAGGTTCCTTGACATCATCCCCCTCGACACTGCTTTCCTGAAAATTTTATATGATTTATTTGCTTTCAGTGTCAACAATAACTTACCCATCAAACCTTCTTGTCACCAAAATAAGGCACAAAATTAGCCATCAACACTTGCACAAATGATCATTTTGATCCCTGTTTTTCTAGCAATTTAATCCCCGGTGTTCTAATTTTTGGTCAAAACATCCCCTATTGATGTAAATAATTAGTTGAATAATTGTCCAACACATGTTGCTGACGTGACATTTCCACATGCGTTCAATTGCGAATATGGCATGTGCCATGTCATGCAAAATAAGAGATATGACATGTGACATGTCATCCAAAGTGATAACATGACATGTGTCATGTCACCAATTAAGCACGTCTGAAAATGGCATGTCAATAACATGTGTTGACCGTTAATCAACTGATGATTTACATCTAACATGAGCTATTTTGACCAAAAATTGAAATGTTAAGGACTAAAATGTTTCAAAATGAAGAATAGGGACAAAAGTGATTATTTGTAAAAGCTTGGAGGCTGAATTTATCATTATGCCCCTAAATAAACGCAACGAACATTATAGTCTATAAAGGCAGCTCTACTCGCATAATTTGGAAAGACAACCATATCAACATTCTCTGGTAACCTAACAGTAATCGTCTCAGAGAGCACTCACGAGCACCCACAGGATGTATGAGCTCATCGGTGTCAAGAATAATTATTGTATAATATCAAAAATAGCCCCCATGTTTATTAAAATGGCTATTGTATTTTAACTCCAATGTTTAATTTCAGGGCAAAAAGGTCCCTAACGTTTGTTTGAATAGCCACTTTGACCCTTATTCCATTTTTTAGAGCATTTTGGGCCCCCTACATTTTATTTTAGGGTAAAAAGGCCCTCATTTTGGAGCGTTAACCTTTTGTTAACTAACAATTTTCAATTCACAGAGGGGCCTTTTTGCCCCAAAATAAAATATTATGAGCTAAAATACTTCAAAAATAAAGACTAAAGTGACTATTTAATCAAACGTCAGATACATTTTTGACATTATACCTACAATCTAATGGTAAATTAAAAACATTCCAGGTCATATCTAGCTTACCCCGGGTACCCAACGCTATTTATCCCATAGCTCATGTCTACCAACATGGGGGCTTACTAGAATGGTAGTTAGGTCCATAACTATCGAGTTAAGTTTGAAAATATTTTGAGTTCAATTTTTTTAGAGCTCGAGTCGAGCTTCAATTTTCTATTTCTAATTGAATTTAATAATTATAAACTCGTAATCTTTCAAATAAAGTCGAATTCAACAATACTGACTTCCTCGTTTACAACCCCAGTGGTTAGGGAGACTTTGATTACATTGCAGTCATTTAAGTCTTGTACAAGAAAGAAGAAAGTAAAAGAATTGACCTATAGAAGAAGAACACAAGAAAACAACTACTTCTCATTATTCAGAATTCAACCAATCATGCACAAACCTTTTAGCTTGTTGTTCCTCTAATTCTTTTGTTCCGTATATCACTTTCACCTCCTGTACAAGATGATTTAGTAAATAGCAACAGAATCGATGAGGAATAGACAGAGATTTAAATAGCAATCGACTATTCAAATTACGGTCGTCATATAGCGGTAAAGATGTCGTCTGGAACTGTTATTGTACAATCATGATACCCGCAATGAATATAATGATACTCGCTATTGCTACAACTGCGATAAACGTAACACAACAAAAAAAACGCAATTTAAATCCATGGAATAGACAGTAAAACATACAACAAAGTACAGAAACCAAAAGGAGGAACGAAGATTTATACTCACTGGAATTGATTCTAGGACTTTAGATACATTAGGAGAGGCAGCTTTCCCCTCAACAAAGAGGAAAAAGGTTGAAACTCCAATAACCTTGTGATAAAAGATCCATGGCAATGTCTGTTCTAATCCTGCAGAAGTACAAGAAATAATACATTTCTGGCATACAGCAAAAACAAATAAAAGAATGTAAGAGACAGCATCCACAATTCATCAAATCACATACATTAATGATAATAATGATTAGAATTGTAAATGAGACGAGATAAATCGTAAACTGCTTGAATTTGATTAGGTCCAAATTTAATGGACTCCACTCTAACATTGGAGCTCAATACATCCGCCCCTGGATACGAGTATGTGCTTAATAGAGGCTAGGTTTTTTTATGTATTTAGAAGATCTTTAAAGGATTATATCTCAATATCCATATTAGGGTATATCTCGAACATAAATACTGAAAAAAATGAAGAGTGCTCCATTCAATTTTGAAATTCATGAAGAGGGACTTCACAGAGTGCTCTACTGTTTATCCTACTTCTAAAATTTTAAACATGTAGTTTATATGAACATATATAATATTGAGATGTAAACATTAAAATATTAATTGTAATAAAACCCAATTATATATGCATGAACCAAATCGATCTCAGTGATAGAGGAATTGT